GAGACGCAGCATCCCTGCTATATACTCGCGCGTAGCTTTAGGGATTTGGGTAAAGCGAAGGTTGGCGTTTCCGAGTTCGTGATTATGAGCCCGAGAGTAATTGCCCAAGACGATAGAGGTTCCGGGGTACTGTTTGACGATAAGGCTACATTCGCAGTCCGTGCGTTTGCCTGCCGACTTCTGATTCCAGTCCGGATGCAGTTTGATATAAATCTTGCGGCCACCGGTACCAGCGCGTGAACAGACATAGCGTAGACACCGTTCGTAAACCGGCAGGTTAGTGTATGTGTTGACCAACCGTAGTTCAATTGCATTCGTTCGTTGCTCGTTTGCCAGCCACTTTTGAAAAGCTTCGAAGGACTCCCATCGTTCCTGGTACTTTTCACATTGTTGGTCATATTCACAAGACCCTATAGGCGGTAGCTGAGGTGACGGCGGTGTAGGATCTGGAAACGCGCGAAATGTTATTGTCGAAGAGCTTGCTGAGGTGGTCGCGTCTTCGCAAGGTGGCGAACTCCGTGAGAAATGCCCAGCACGGAAACGGCCAAAGAATGTTGACATCGCCTTCGATTTCGAGCCAGGGCGGGCGCGTCTGAAGCGTGTTGTAGGCGGCGACACAGGCGGGATGAAAAGAAAGAAAAGAACGCGGCGGTCACAGCGTGACCTCGCGGTTTTGGTTACTCATTCTCATTTCGCTTTGTAGACACAAGGAAGACAACAGGTATTCATTCATTCAGAGTTTGTGGAAATACATATCGAGGGCATGTAATGGGACAAACCAATATAGTATAGTATTGAAGGATAAGATGAGGCAATCATTCGCGAGATTTAGGCAATGTGTATAAGGACGGTAACAAATGAAAAGGCAAATCTGGTGTAGTAGGGGATGACGTGCGCGTGCTGGATCCAGTAGACAACGAGGAGGCTAGGGAGGGCACGGGAGAGATTGGGGACGAGTCGAGATACTGAGGCGGCGCTGGGGAGTCGAGATGCTGAGGCGGCGGCGGGGAGGGGGTGAGTCGATGACCACGACGTCTGAGTCAGAGTCGGACTCGGCGTTGACCTGCAGACGAGGGCGTATGGGCAGGCGACGACGTTTGGACGGGCGCACTGGAGTCCCCGAGACACCCTTGCTAGAACCGACTATAACAACGTCGTCGTCATCCGACTCGCACAGAACAATCGCCTTGCGTTTGGCAGGTGGCTGAGGAACAAGAGAATTGAATTCATACTCGGCGTGCGACTTTGCGCGAGCAATGTGGGCACCTTCGTCAAGGCCCGTGATGCCCAGGGAGCGGATGAGAAGGGGCTGGCCGGGGGTGACAGTGTGGACATCATTGGCGCGCACATTCATCCAGCAATCATAAGGAACCGAATAGCACTGGTACGGCCCGGTTGCTGCAGTGAATGACCAAAGGGGCCATGTCGACGGGTTCTGAATGCCGTAGACAGTAGGAGGTTTGTTGTCGTGCTCCCAGTGCACGAGGACGAAGTGGCGCTTCACAGGAGCGAGTTGGGGTGGGGACGGCGTCCCAGAGGGTATGCGAGCGACAGCTGCACGATGCTGGCGGTCGTTTTGGAGCGCATCCTGAGCGAGGCGGTGGGCAGCGCGAGGAACGGCGTTGGCGTCACTGCGTATGGCTTGCAGAATGTCGAGGTCGGGCCCGGTGAGGACAGGAAGTGGTTGGGGTGGCGGCGGCGGTGGAGGCAAATGGACGCGACACCCACCGTCGAGGTCGCAGTGTTTTTTGCACATCCCTCGGTCACAAAGGCGATGAACACGGGTTGCCTGGCAGGAGCGCGCCTTACAAATCGGCATGGGAGGGACAGGGAGAGCAATGCTGGCGGGTGGATTGAGCGCTGAACCAGGAGGAGGAGAGACAATAGCGAGAGGAGCCCGAGGAAAGTGATACCAAAAGGCGGGAATGTTGTCAGTGTGCGCAGAATTATAACACTGAAAAGGATGATTAGAAGGCGTTCTGTACTTGGCGATACTTTGCAAGACACTCAAACACACCTTGAAATAATCACGGCCTCTGTTTATGCCAGTGTAGGAGGTCCGCTGGTCTAGACGTCGCGAGCAGCCAGGCTTTGGGCACGTTATGGTGCGAGAATTGGGGTTGGGGGGAGCCAAGCCATGAGTCGCGTAGTAACAAGGGGCCATATTTGTCGAGCAAAATTAAATGAGAAGAGCGGGTGAGAAGGCAACAGGCGAGGGCGAGAGTGGGATGGTGGGGGAAGCAAGGCGCGTGGGCAGTTGTTTGCGCTGGGCGGTTTACGCAAACAAGTGACTCCGGCAATGTGTCGGCAGAAAGAGGTGGATGCCGATGTGCCGAAAAAACCTTCCTGATCGGGAGCTTACGTTTGAGGCGGAAAGTCAGGAGTGGTTGCCCCTTGGGTCTTGGCATCAATCAATCAGATCGAAATGCGGTCGCACATAAATGCACCGCCACACAACGCTTCTCTCTTTCGCCCGAAGCGCGAGAAGTCACCAAGAAGAGAAGGACGGCCTCACTGCCTCGGTCGCAGCCTCGACAGTGTTCACCGCCGCCCGACGTAACTCGACAGCAGGACGTCGATATGGCTGTCGTGGGCGTGGAGCCGCTCTGTCGAGCATCACGCGGCTTGGCCTACTTCCCCTGCTCGTCTCGCCCTGCCACCTCGGAGCGGATGACCGTTTGCGTTCACTCGAAGCGGTCAACTACTCCAGTTTCTCGATGTCTGCCTTGTGCCCGCTGAGCTTGACCCTCCGCGTATGCTTGGGCAGAAGTTTCCTTGTCTTTCCTGTCTCCTCTGAAGGCTCTCTTAGTCTTTTTCTCGTTCCTCATGTTCGCTCGCTTGCTGCCCTTGACCCTCGACATTCATGTCTGACGCGCAAGTGTATCCCGCATGCGTCCAATTCACTTCTCGTCCATCCAGCACCCTATCCCAACGGTAAAACCCCGACTCGGTTTTCTTCTGTTCTCCTCCAGATTCAGAGACACGATGTTCATGATGTCCTCTCTGGATTTTCGAATACACGGGGCCTTTCCCATCCGACCTCGAGCGACCACTTCCTTGTCGATTTTCCAGCGTCTTCCCGGCAAACCGGATATACCATACATATTCTACACACTGCGATCTTGGCTCACTCAGGCAGATCAAGGTTTCGTATCTCTTTTCTCCTGATTCCGGACAGTTTTCGGTCGGGGCGCTATCCTCGATGTACATTGTTCGCTGCAATGCAAGACTCCAGTCGGTCGTCACTGGCGCTCAACCGATATTGGTTCTCGTACTAGTCGTGGTTCTCACCATGTCTTGGAAAGAACACCGTCCCGGATTAATATTCTCATCCCAGAACGCCTCCTCAAAATTCGAATCCATCCAATCTTTCTTCCTGTTCGTATCGTGACCTGTACACGTCGAGTCAGGATTCTCTTGTGCAAGCTAAGGTCGGTTTTCTCCCCATACGTCGACGTCTCTTTTAATGTTGGTTTGGGTTTTACAGTTCTAGCTTAGTTTTCAATCGACCTTTTAATGCCAGTTGGGGCACTCTTCCTCTCATTTGGGTTTCAAGCCACTCTTCTTTGGCTCTTCTTTGGGCTTGAATCGACTCTTCTGAATTTCTTTAAATTTAATCAAGTATTCTGAATCTCTCGTACTGTGTGTTCCGATTCACGGGGAACCTGGCTGGTCATCTCATGGCATGTGATTTGGCGTCCTGTCTTCGGGCGCTCGCAATATTCCAATTCACCAAGACCCCTAAGCGTTTCTTCCGCTCCGGCCTATGACATCACAGTGCTGCACACAGCTCTTTCAGCCGCCTTCCGCAATTCACGTGCAGGGGGTTGATATTTCATATTGGTGGGAGGGCGAAAGTGGTGTCCCTCGAATATCTATACCGCTCGGCCCTGTTACTAACCAGCTTGTGCCTCCCCCTGCTGCCACCGCCTGGGTCCCTTCACTTTGGCTTCTTCTCCACCGTCCAGTTTCTCGTGCGCATCATCGGTTATCGCTCACGCCCTTACCCCTGTTTGCTACCCGATGCCTTACTCTTTGTCTCTGCCGCGTCTCCGTCACCGCCCGCTTACCCTTAACCCCAGGCACCCAGCATGGCACCCCACTCGCCACCGCTACGACGTCCGAGACTTCGAGGTTGCAGACTCGCGCATGCGCACGCGCTTTCCGCCCTCTTCTTAACACGACGCCCCGCCACCTCCACACCACTAGCCAGCTAGACGATGCGCTCGCGTTTGCCGTCCGTATATCTCCTCGACACCAATGTTTGTGCATGCACCGCACCAACTTCGTGCCTATCTGCGACTTGCGAGTCTGCCGCCGCTTCTATGTTAGCCCCTTCGTTCTCCCTGAGCTAGCCTTCGAGTTCTGTGCACGGCACTTGCACGCGGCGTTGAGCAGTCCCGCATCCCCAGGTCTCGCCCGCCTCGCCGTCCCAATTTAACTCGGCAATGTCAGTCAGCGTCGAGCGCCAGCGGGAATAGCAGTTACGCCAGTGATAGCAGTGATGGGTCGTCCTTCCTGCCCCGCTTCTCGTATCTTCGTCTATGTGCGGTGCTATAATTTAATTTCACAGGTTCCCTGCCCGCGACATCAATATTCACCAAAAAGAATATGTCGCCCTCGGCGGCACCACGGGCTGGAATCCGACGCCCATGTTTCCCACGAGTCAAAGCTGGGTCGCGATGGCGTAAGATACGGTGCAGCGCGAGTGTTAGGATTTTTTCTTTCTTCAATTCGCAATAATTTCGCAGGGACCTCCGCCCCCATGACATCCACCAAAAGAAATAGTGGCCCCTCGGCGGCACCACGGGCTGGATGTCCGACGCCGACTGGGGTATTGCAAACGAGCCAGAGCGTTGGGGTGGGGCGGTGAGTGTTTCGAGTTTTTCGGTCTTCATTTTGCATCAACGATGAGTACATTGACAAGCGCGCGGCTCAAAACACAAAAATGGCCAGGTTAGAGTGAAAGTCAAGTCAGTGACTGGGCGACGCAAAAACCATGCCTCCTATCCGGATTGAACGACTGACCGCTGCATGCCTTGCGCCGATGTACAAGTGCAGCGCTCTACCACTGAGCTAAGCAGGCATATGCATGTATGTAGTGAAGATGCTAAGGCCGAGGCAGGAATAAAAAATGCGGAGCCTCATGGGCAAAGTCCTTCATCTTTTTCCGTGTTGTTCTCTGGATCTCCTTCCATCGTTGCTCCTCTCCTGCAGAGCTCTGCCCATGCAAAACAGGTTAGCTGTGTCGGAAAAAAGCCATTCAGCTTGCAACGGCATGGTTCAGCATGTGACCTTGGGTCAGCTTTTTGGAGTGCTTCCAAGGTGTGGTGGAGGAACTTGGAACCTCTCAAGCTGTTTGAAGGCTTTGTGCGAGTTTCAAGCTGTCCCAAGCTGTCCCAAGGCACGTGTATATTTTTGGGGGTCAGAAAATACTTTAGGTCAATTATCCGTGCCTCAGAGGAGTGATTTGACTTGATACACACACTGTGCTTGGTTGTATTTTTTCGACCACTCTTGTCCTCGAGATCTAGCCGCTGTGGAGTCCGTGTGAAAAGCCTTCAGCAGGGCTCCACCAGGGACCCGGACCAAGGTACATAACTCTGTTGATGACCCCTGGATATTTTCCTACTTGTGTATATGTGCTTTACACATTGCTTGAAATCAGTTGAGGAGTGACCCCTCATCCTTGCTTACTTCCTACTTACTCCTACAAGTCATTAATTACTTGCTTGCTAACAATGACTACAATAACTGTGACCGCGAAGAACAGAAGCATACACATTTTTGTTACTTTCCGAGAATCATCTCAGAAGGTGTTAGAACCATTGACATGACTTGGAAGTGATTGGAGGATTCTGAACTGTGTGTTGGAAGCCAGCTAAAGCCATTTGGCCATGCAATTGGCTTGGAACACGTTCAATGCCAATCAAAGCCAAATAGGATTTTTCCAACATGCTAATGCACCACCGGAGTTGTGGGTCTCAGTCACTTTCAAGCACTTCCACTGCCAGGATTTCTGTTCAGCCAACTCAGATTTAGACACTGTGCACATTGAGCGACACCTCTGCAAGCTCAGGTGGTGGCATGTAAGAAGTTCTGTGGACTCACTCATGTCATATCTGCATAGTCTGCAGAAGCACTTCACGGTCCCCCTGTACCGGGGGCAAACGACGACGCACTTGGAAGTCGAGTGTGTCACTCAACGAGACAAAGGTTCAAAAGACCTTTGTGGCATCTTTGTTTTTGGGGGTGAGTCAAAGAAAAAACAAAGATGCCACCAAGGTCTTTCAAACCTTTGTCACCTCAACTGACACACTCTGAAACCGAGTGCGTCGTTGTTTGCCCCCGGTGACATATTTAGCCTTAGTTCACATGGTTCATTGTACAGTATAAAGTAGAGTCGTATTTGTCTGTATTATCGGAAACTGCCTACTCGGCCACCTTAGGACTTTTGGCCTAAAGCCCACACGGGAAGTCGAGGGGGTCTGGGTATTTGGGCTCTCAAATGAAGACATGGACCCTAGGAATGAGTGACAATATTTTGCTTGCATTTACATGTCACCTTCATCGCTCTTTGAATTTATTTCCGGCGACATCCCCAAAAGGGAAATAAACGGCCTAGTCGGCCACCCCGCCAAATTGTCAGTTTGCACCACTTCTATCCAGCCCGCTGCATTCCAGATGGTTCAAGAGATGCAAATGAATGATTCCACACACTTAAACTGTACATTTGAGGTGTAAGGATAATGATACCAGTTCCCTTCTAAGCTAAGTAGGGTCGGCGAAAGGGCAGTTAGAACAAAATGGTGGGCCGTGCGACGTATAGAGCACATTGAAGGCCCAAATTAAGTTTCAGATGACTTCATGAGAGGTTTTTGAACATAAAAATTCGCATACAATGTTTCCCACCTAACCCCAACCCCTCAAAAAAAGTTCAGCTTGATGTGCAACTAAAATCCGATGGTTTAGGGCAGTAGCCCATCGCGACTGGGAACCTGTAAAGTAATGACCCTATAAACTTATAATAACACATATTCAGCTATACTAAATGTACCAAGCAAATTCTGGGTCCTCAGCAAATACGGCTGATTCGCGAGAGAGGTGGCCGGTCTGCGGCACTCAGAATCTGCTCGAGGTCTTCATAGAGTGCTGTTAGGGCGGAACAGATCCTATGTGACGGGTTTTTTTACAACGATATCATCCTCACAAATCTAGGGATGAGTTTGAGCCTATAAACTTGCGAATCGGTGGGGAATTGGTGGAGAAACAAGGAAGAAATGAGTGCGAAGGCTGTCCGGAAATAAGAAATGATGTTCACACGCCGGCATCTTGATCCGAAACCTACTACAACTTTTGATCGCCGTGACGGTTCGGGGCCTGACTTGACATACGACGTCCTCATAGGTCGCATTGCACCCCAAGAACGCCAATCCTCGAGACTTTTAACCACGCGGCCTTACATTATGCAAATGGCCGACTAGCTAGTGTGGCCGACTAGGCAGTCGCTGATAATAGTAGTTAGCCTTTTGTCCTATCAATTCTAAAAGCTCACCACACAATCCTTGAGTGTATTGCACCTCTTGGATGAAGGTGTTACCTGTGACAATAATTGGCCCACAATGCAGACTTTCATCCAAATTCCACCTGATGGTGGACAAAATCACCTGAGGCTCCACTAAAAAGGAAAAATTCTTTCTCAACAAAAAACTAATATATCCAAGTTGAACCAAGGTGAGATAAACAGCATTTCGGTAAAATACGGTCACTTTACGGCATAACAAGTATGGGGAAGGCTGAATCGTGAAAGAGAAGTACTACATATACAGAAAAAGCTATTCAGCCCAACTGAGGAGACCATGAACCCGAGAAGGAGGAGTACTAACGAGACGTGGTGGCATTAAAAAAGCAAAGGGCAATCAGATATGTCGAACACAAGCTCAGCACGGCGCGAGGCGTGACATCCTTCAAGCTGGCAGGCAGTAGTAGATGCTCTGGCAACCCGTTACCGCCTCGGGCTGGTAGGGATCGAACAGCCAACGCTGGTTGTCTTTGTAGCAGTTCCACGTCTTGCCATTCCAGCCCCAGCTGTCGTGAAATCGTCGGTCAGCCCCAGGTTACGAGCTGCCGCCCCGTGGCAGAGAGAGAGGGAGGCATACCCAGAGTACGAATAGTCGGCAAGGCTCTGCGCATTGCTGTTGATAGCTTCTTCGAACGTGACGCCCGTCGAGAATGTGCAGCTCTTCTGGTTGCCCTCCCACGTGGTGTAGCCCGAGCCGGGAGATGTCACCCGGCAACGGTCACTGGACGGCGGAACGTAGTCCGAGTTGTTCGAGTCGGCATTGACGGGGTAATACTGCATGAGCGTCAGTCGAAAGGCCGACAGCGTCTCGTGCGGGAGGAATGGGTCCGACTCACAATCATCTCGGACCAGTACTCATTCGGGGTGCAGCACGAGACCTCGGAGACGCAGTTGGCGAGGTAGAGGGCCTCGGTAGAGCGCTTCTTGAGGGCCGTGATGTCGGCGGTGGGCGGTGCGAGGTCGACCGGCGTAGCAGTGACGCAAATGACGGCGAGGGAGAGGGCGAGGATGGCGGCGACCTTCATTCTGAGAGGTAGCGATGTTTTAGTGACCTTGAGGTTGTTGATCAGGGCAAAGATTGGCTACCTTATGAGCTTTGCGCTTGGTTGAACACTGAGTGATACTCAAGTTGTTCTCTGGCGGTTTTTCTGCCCGTTTAAATATCCTACCTGGGATCCCTGCACGTTTGTGTGGTTTCCTAATCGAATCCGAGTATGCTAATGGATGAGTGCGTTGTCCTTGGTTCTTGGCATATATTCCGACATAAGTGCGTTGTTTGAGGTAGGGGAAATATTGATTGGCCGACGTCTATCGCTCACTGGTCGACACTGAGCAAAGTTGTCGTATAGTACGCCGTACCGACCGCCGAAAGGAAAGTATTGATTACGATACAGAACAGGCCGTGCATACTCTGCTCCATTACGCCTCGTATCTGCGTGCTTCCCCGGAAAAGAGTCTGATTTAACCCGGTATATCGATGCCTGCTTTATCCATTGGGGCTGGTGGCTACCCCGACGTAAGTGCGCTGCTTGAGTGAGGAGAAATATTGATAGGCCGACCTATCGGTTCTATCACTGACTAGTCGACGCTCAGCAAACAAGTTGTCGTACACTTATAATTAACTTGATATTAGACTTGGGACATACTAGGATTGCGGAATTGTATGACCATATTTAAAGACTACCTCTGGTATTTCTATAAATATTGCATCTACAAATAATTTTGATTATTCGATACTTCCGCTGCCTTTAGGTAAGGGTTTTATGGCACCCTATTTTCAAGGCCAAGTAAATACTTATACCAAGGCCCTCCGAGCAGCCTAGATACCTTGCGCCGATAATAGATGGATTCTGGGATTTTTGAATCTGGCGATGCAGCGAATGATGAGGTTGCGAAGAATTTATTCCGGTGTGAATTTTGACTCGGCGCACGAGATGACTTGGAAATTAATTAATTTAAATGTTATATCACCCCAAAGCTCGCTCGGTCGACGCTTGAGAGCAGGGACGAAATCCATAAAAAAGCCGCCAATGTGTTCACGTAATACACCGTAATTACAGTAGTCCGAGTCTGTGCTTGATATCAGAGTTACCCGATTGGCTTGGCTAAATGGCTTGTGCCGCTTAGCGGAGTTTGAATTTGGCTTGGCGGGCGTGAGCGGCGTGGCTTGTGGCGTGGCATGACTTGTGCTCATTATACACCAAGCTCTCACACTGTAAGTAATCCAGTGATATGTCTTCCCTGTGGTCCCTGCGCGGTCTCCCATCACTGCCAGCGTCTTACCATAACCCCGCGCCTCGGCTCAGCCACTTTGCCCACCAATAATGGGACATTCTCTCCGCTTTTGATAATATATTATTCACGCCACTTCCAACCGTCAATTAAGCGAGTAAAGGTATCTGATTCACTTGAAATATAATAACTCTACAACTGTTAGCAGATTTGGATCAAAGTTCAACATATCAGGTAGCGTTCAGTTGAACACACTTGTGCATAAAACAAGC